GGAACTGACCTGTTGTATGTACACTTTGCGTACCTTGGTGGTTGGATTAGAACTGACCTGTTGTGTCTGAAAACTTTCCAAACCTGTCAACTAAACAGCACAATTTCCCTTTGGTGCACGATAAATATTCTTTTCAATGGGGGACCTAATGCAGGGAGCGACTCTGTTCCAGGCGGGGGTCATGTACTTCGCAGTTGGAGGGGTCTCCCCCCAGCAGTATTCTTTTCCATGGGGGACCTAATGCAGGGCGCGACTCTGTTCCAGGCGAGGGCCATCTACTTCTCACCTGGAGGGGTCTCCCTCCCCCTCCCTCCCTTGCTCCCACCCACCATTGCTCTCTTTTATACCGTAGAGTATGATTAGCTCCCCTGCTTGGATGGATTGCCGTGCAGGTAGGACGAGGGCACACTGGCGGGCCATATGTGGTAGTCCCCGCCGTCGTCTCTCTCTCTCTCTCTCTCTCTCTCTCACACACACACACACACACACACACACACACATCTCTAATTGTCTGTGCACATAGGGGAAGGGGGCGCGGGAGGCACGTTACTTTGATGCATCATGAGATCGAAGAGGCATGATGTTTTTTTTTTTTCTTTTGGTCGTAGGGGTGAGGGAGGAGCGTCGGAGCTGCTGGAGGCAGGGGGCTGCGGTCATCTCCTATCTAGAGTGTAGGTTGGGAAGGGGGGCATCGTCATCGTACCTTAGCAGGAGTGTAGGTTGGGAAGGGGGCCATCGTCATCGTACCTTAGCAGGAGTGTACCAGGGGGCTGCAGTCATCTCCTATCTAGAGTGTAGGTTGGGCAGGAGTATGTCTGTCTGTCTGTCTGTCTGCCTCTGTCTGTCTGTCTGTCTCTCTCTCTCTCTCTCTCTCTCTCTCTCTCTCTCTCTCTCTCTCTCTCTCTCTCTCTCTCTCTCTCCCTCCCTCCTGCCACGTACTATAGCAGGGTTGCCCATGTTGAAGTCATCATCATGATCGTAGCTTTTTTTTTGTAGGGACGCTAGAGAGAGAGAGAGAGAGAGAGAGAGAGAGAGAGAGAGAGAGAGAGAGAGAGAGAGAGAGAGAGAGTGGAGCGGGGTAGGCCATGTAGAAGTCGTCATCGTCCTCGTGGCTAAGAGTCGTTTTTCTTTTGTTTTTTTGGTTGTAGGCAGGTCATCGGCCGACCGGAAGGTGCCAATCAGCCGATTGGTCGGTGGGTCGGCAGCCGACCAGTCAAGGGCTGCCGACCGTCAGGGGGGTCCAACACTGGTTGTAGGGATGCTAGAAGTCGCCTTCGTTGCGTGTGTGCACACGCGGGCGCGTGAGAGAG